TGAGCTGGGGGCACCCTGAAGGTGGAGGTGTGCTGGAGGTGGGGTTCCCTGGTATGGGGTACCCCTGAGGTGGAGGCACTGGTATGGTCACCCTGGTATGAGGCACCCCTGGGGTGAAGATACCCCTGACGAGGGGACACTCAGGTGTGGGGCATCCTGGTTTGTGACCCCCCCCTAAGTCTGGGGTACCCCTGAGGCAGAAGGCACCCATGTAAGGTGGAGGTACCAATGGGATGGGGACACCCACTCAGGGTTTGGGTCCCTGCCTGGGATGAGGAGCTGCCATCTGGCTTGGGGACACCCCCGGGGTCAGAGCACCCCAGGGCTACAGCACCCCAGTGGAGTTCAGGACATGTGCCTGCACTGGGGACACCTGTCTGGCATCAGGGCACCCACCTGGGATACAGGCACCCACTGCGGATGGGGGCACCCACCTGGGATACAGGCACCCACTGCGGATGGGGGCACCCATTTGGGATACAGGCACCCATTTGGGATACAGGCACCCGCTGCGGATGGAGGCACCCATTTGGGATACCGGCACCCACTGCGGATGGGGGCACCCATTTGGGATACAGGCACCCACTGCGGATGGGGGCACCCATTTGGGATACCGGCACCCACTGCGGATGGGGGCACCCATTTGGGATACCGGCACCCACTGCGGATGGGGGCACCCATTTGGGATACAGGCACCCACTGTGGATGGGAGCAGCCATTTGGGATATAGGCACCCACTGTGGATGGGGCCACCTATTTGGGATACAGGCACCCACTGCGGATGGGGGCACCCGTTTGGGATACTGGCACCCACTGCGGATGGGGGCACCCATTTGGGATACAGGCACCCACTGTGGATGGGGCCACCTATTTGGGATACAGGCACCCACTGTGGATGGGGCCACCTATTTGGGATACAGGCACCCACTGTGGATGGGCGCACCCATTTGGGATACAGGCACCCACTGCGGATGCAGGCACCCATTTGGGATACAGGCACCCACTGCAGATGGAGGCACCCATTTGGGATACAGGCACCCACTGTGGATGGGGCCACCTCTTTGGGATACAGGCACCCACTGCAGATGGGGGCACACATTTGGAATACAGGCACCCACTGTGCATGGTGGCACACATTTGGGATACAGGCACCCACTGCAGATGGGGGTACCCATTTGGGATAAAGGCACCCACTGCGGATGGGGACACCCATTTGGGATGCAGGCACACACTGCGGATGGAGGCACCCATTTGGGATACAGGCACCCACTGCGGATGGAGGCACCCATTTGGGATACAGGTAGCCACTGTGGATGGAGGCACCCATTTGGGATACAGGCACCCACTGTGGATGGAGGCACCCATTTGGGATACAGGCACCCACTGTGGATGGAGGCACACACACTGTGGATGGAGGCACCCATTTGGGATACAGGCACCCACTGTGGATGGAGGCACCCATTTGGGATACAGGCACCCACTGTGGATGGAGGCACCCATTTGGGATACAGGCACCCACTGTGGATGGAGGCACCCATTTGGGATACAGGCACCCACTGGGGATGGAGGCACCCATTTGGGATACCGGCACCCACTGTGGATGGAGGCACCCATTTGGGATACAGGCACCCACTGCGGATGGAGGCACCCATTTGGGATACAGGTACCCACTGTGGATGGAGGCACCCATTTGGGATACAGGCACCCACTGTGGATGGAGGCACCCATTTGGGATACAGGCACCCACTGGGGATGAGGCACCAGGCCTCTGAGAGCCCCCAGGACCAGGGCTGCCCAGCTGCACCTGGCACAGGGAGCAGAGCACCTGAGCAGAGGCGTGCCGAGGGCTGCATGTGTGCACTGCTGAGGTCTCTATGGACCCCCCCCCCCCCCATAAGCCAGGGTCTGTGGCACTGGAGCAGGGTCAGGGCACCCTGGGTGTCACCCGGACAGGATCCTCCTCACCCTGTCACCGAGCGCCTGTGCCACGGGCAGCGCCCACATCACCGGGACTTCCTGGGAAGCTGAGACTTGGTGCTTGTGGATGGCGCCCTCCGGCCATGGGGCAGCCGCCGTGAACCGCACCATTCTCATCACCGCGCCCTCCCGAATGCCCCCGGGTGTTTCCGAACCGCCCGTGTGCCACAAACAACGGGATTCACACCTCGCCAGGGCCCCTCGGCGCCTCTTCCAGCACGGGCTTCAACTGCTGCGGCCCAGACACACGCTTGAACTGCGGATGTTCCTCTCATTCGAGCACCATCCTTCCTCCCGGCGAGCCTCTGGAGCGGGACCGCTCCGGCCCCAGCCCTCCCAACTCCCCCGGAACGCCTGGGCACCAGCCACGTTGTTGCTGTAGGGGAAATGGGGAAGAAAACGAAGGGATAAAGAGCGGCGAGGAGGAAGCCAACACGATTACGGATGGTAAACACTGGAAATGGCACCGGGGCTGACGCGAGCTGCTGCGCTGACCTCCCCTTTCCACCCGCAGTGGGATAATGTTTAACCAGGGGGATCTCTCCTCGCTCCCCGCGCGGGTTGATGTCCCCAGCACCCTGCGGCGGGGCGAGGGACCCCGTCCCTTGGTGTCCCCCCGCACCACTGTCGTGCTCCCTCCCCTCCCAGGCACGCTGATTGTACTTATTAAGAGTTATTAATACTTAATCAGCTGGCGGATTTAATTGTGCCAATATTAAAAATGCATCAATGTCAATTTTATTCATTAAATATTTACTTTGTTGAAGGGAAACTGTTTTGCTGCTGTTTTAATATCACTTTCAGGCACTTTTGGATGTGACCCCAGCAAACTGGGGGGGAGCCCTCGGGGAGGGAGCAGTGTGGTGGTGGCACAGGGACCGGCATGTTCCCGCAGGGACGGAGAGGCGGAGGGGAGAGGACCGGACCCGGTCCCTAGGGCTTGCTCGTCACCAGCTCTGGGCAAACGAGTGGCGTGGCAGCGTGAGTCAGCGTGGGAAAACCTCACCCCAGGCGTATTGCTGGTTCCCAAAGCGCCAGGATGTCGGAGGAGCCGTGCCTCATCCCGAGGAGGATGCTCGGAGCTGGGAGCAGCGCGGCGCCCAGCCACGATGCGTGGCCTGCCCGGACGCCTGGAGATCTGCTTCCCTGAGGCTTCAGCTGCAGCTTCCCCCAGAGCGCCGCTGCTGCCCGTGTGCTGCTGCTGCTGCCCTGCTCCTTCCTTCATCCCACTGCTCCAGCTCCCATCCTGTTTCGGGGCTGAGCTCTGGGCCTGCTGGTGGTGGTGCCCTCTTGGGTGCCGGGGTGCCACGGTGACAGGGTGCTGGGTGTGATGGTGCTGGGTGCCAGGGTGCCACAGTGCTGGGGTGCTGGGTGCCAGTGTGCTGGACATGACAGTGCTGGGTTCCAGGGTGCCACAGTGCTGGACATGATGGTGCCAAGATGCTGGGTGCCAGGATGCCAACAATGCTGGGTGCTGGACATTATGGTGCCACGGTGCTGGGGTGCTTGGTGCCAGGGTGCCACACTGCTGGACATGACAGTGCCACGATGCTAGGGTGCTGGATGCCACCTTGCTGGGGTGCTGGGTGTCACAGTGCTGGTGTGCGTGGTGCTGGATATCAGAGTCCCAGGGTGCTGGATGCCACAGTGCCACGGTGCCAGGGTAGGAGGGTGCTGGTGCCAGGGTGCTGGGTGCCCCAGTGCCACATTTGTGTGCCTGGGGCTGGGCATTAGGACACTGACCCTGTCTCCCGGTCTCCACAGGCTGTGCCTTCCTCACCTACTGCGCCCGCGACTCGGCCCTGAAGGCGCAGAGCGCCCTGCACGAGCAGAAGACGCTGCCGGGGGTGAGTGACACCGGGGTGAGCTGGGGCAGGGCACGGGGACGGGGACACGGACCCGGGGTGCGGGAGCAGGAGCCGCTTCCAGCGGCCGCAAACCGAGGCATCGATTTTGCTGGCTCCCGCGTGTGCTGCGCTTTCTGTGGGCTCCGACCTCCCGAGCTTAACAAAGTGAAAATAAATATTTAATTATTCGCCTAAATAAAAATCAATAGGGCCGCTGCTTGGCTGGGAAAGCGCCGGGCCCCGGGAATATCCATCCCTGCCTCGGGAGCGCAGAGCTGACGGAGCAGGACGAGGTTCATGTCCTGAGCCGCGCTCTCACCCATGGTTTAGTGCATCAGTAGGTTTAAGGTTTAACAGCCCACTTTGGCACCCTAAAGGAGGTGCAGGTTCGGGCCCTGCCTGTGGGCATGGGGTTGGGACTTGCCTTCATCCCTTCTCATCACACGCTCTCTGTGTGTACACGCATGGGCGAGGTGTATGGTCGCTGTAGCTGCTCACTTCTCACCCTGCACCCCTGGTGCGCGGGGTGAGCACAGGGGTGCACGTGTGAGTAGGTGCTTGCAGGTGGGTGTGTGGGCATGTGCCCATGTGGAGGACGTGCCTGTGCACACCCCTCTGTGCAGGTGTGCATGCAGCGGTGCGGGGTGTGCATCCGCCAGGGCACACAGCCGCAGCAAGTGTGCACACCCCTGTGCTTGTTGTGCTCACACCCCTGTGCCTACGCCCCCTTGTGCTTGTGCCCACACCCCTGCAAGCTCTTGCACACCTCTGCACACCCCTCTACGCTTGTGCACACCTCTCTCTGCTTCTGTTTACAACCCTGTGTGCTTGTACATGCACCCCTGGGTTTATGCACACCCCCTGTAGCTGTGTACACCCTCCGTGTTCGTGCTTATACCCACACGTGCCTGTGCACACCGTACAGTTGTGCACTCCCCATGTATCTGTGCGCACCCCTCTGTGCTTGTACACACCCCCCCATGCTCATGAGCTCTCTGTGCTTCTGCACACCGCTGTGTGCTCCTCCTCACACCCCTGTGCCTGTGCACAACCCCATGTGCTTGTGCACACCCGTCTGGACTTGTCCACATTCTCTTATACTTGTGCACACCCCTCTCTGATTGTGCATAGCCATGTGTGCCTGTGAACACTTCCATGTAGTGGTGACAGCCACGTATGCTTGTACTCACACCTGTACCAGTGCTCACACCCCTGTACCTGTGCTCACCCTGTACCTGTGCTCACACTGTACTTGTGCTCATACCCCTGTACCTGTGCTCACACCCCTGTACCTGTGCTCATACCCCTGTACCTGTGCTCACACCCCTGTATCTGTGCTCATGCTGTACCTGTGCTCATACCCCTGTACCTGTGCTCACACTGTACTTGTGCTCATACCCCTGTAGCTGTGCTCACACCCCTGTACCTGTGCTCACCCTGTACCTGTGCTCACACCCCTGTACCTGTGCTCACACCCCTGTACCTGTGCTCATACCCCTGTACCCGTGCTCACCTGTACCTGTGCTCATACCCCTGTACCTGTGCTCACACTGTACTTGTGCTCATACCCCTGTACCTGTGCTCACACTGTACTTGTGCTCATACCCCTGTAGCTGTGCTCACACCCCTGTACCTGTGCTCATACCCCTGTACCTGTGCTCACACCCCTGTACCTGTGCTCATACCCCTGTACCTGTGCTCACCTGTACCGGTGCTCATGCCGTACCCGTGCTCATACCCCTGCACCTGTGTTCACCTGTACCTGTGCTCACCCTGTAACTCTGCTCACACTGTACCTGTGCTCACACCCCTGTACCTGTGCCCACCTGTACCTGTGCTCATACCCCTGTACCTGTGCCCACCTGTACCTGTGCTCATACCCCTGCACCTGTGTTCACCTGTACCTGTGCTCACCCTGTACCTCTGCTCACGCTGTACCTGTGCTCACACCCCTGTACCTGTGCTGATACCCCTGTACCTGTGCCCACCTGTACCTGTGCTCACACCCCTGTACCTGTGCCCACCTGTACCTGTGCTCACACCCCTGTACCTGTGCCCACCTGTACCTGTTCTCATACCCCTGCACCTGTGTTCATGTGTACCTGTGCTCACCCTGTACCTCTGCTCACGCCTGTGCCCACCTGTACCTGTTCTCACACCCCTGTACCTGTGCTGATACCCCTGTACCTGTGCCCACCTGTACCTGTTCTCACACCCCTGTACCTGTGCCCACCTGTACCTGTGCTCATACCCCTGTACCTGTGCTCACACCCCTGTACCTGTGCCCACCTGTACCTGTTCTCATACCCCTGCACCTGTGTTCACCTGTACCTGTGCTCACCCTGTACCTCTGCTCACGCTGTGCCTGTGCTTACACCCCTGCACCTGTGTTCACCTGTACCTGTGCTCATACCCCTGTACCTCTGCTCATGCTGTACCTGTGCTCACACCCCTGTACCTGTGCTGATACCCCTGTACCTGTGCCCACCTGTACCTGTTCTCATACCCCTGCACCTGTGTTCACCTGTACCTGTGCTCACCCTGTACCTCTGCTCACGCTGTGCCTGTGCTCACACCCCTGTACCTGTGCCCACCTGTACCTGCGCTCGTGTCCCCGTGTGTACCCCACTCCGGGCAGGCCCCGCCCCCGGCGCGTCTTGGGGGCGTGTCCAGGCTCGGAGGGGGCGTGTCCCGACCGAAGCCCCTCCCCTCGGCTCGGCTCGGCCCGGCTCGATTCGGCTCGGCTCGGCGGGGCTGCGGCCGCCCCTCCCTCCCGCCCCGCCTCCCGCGCGCCGCTGCGCGAGCCGAGCCGAATCGGGCCAGACCGAGCCGAGCCGAGCAGAGCCGAATCGAACCGAGCCCCCCCGCCGGGTCCGGCCGGCCCGAGCCGAACCGAGCCGAGCGGAGCCGAACGGAGCCGAGCCGGGCCGGGCCGGGCCGGGCCATGCAGCTGCCGCAGGTGCCGGCGCCGGGGCCGCGGCCGCCCGTGCTGTGGGTGCCCGCCGGGTCCAAGATCCTCTGCATCGAGGTAGGGCCCCGCCTTTGTCTCCACCGGCTCGGCCCGGGGTCTGCACCCGCGGGTGCTCGCAGGCGGGCAGGGGTGGATGGGGGTGATGGTGAGGGCGGTGGATGTGCGGCCGGGGATGGGGTGTTGGCGGGGGGGGGGTATTTGCACCCGGGGATGTGGTGTGTGAGCGCGGGTGATGGTGAGGAGGGTGCATCCGCACCCAGGGGTGAGGTGGCTGTGTTGGGAGGGCGGTTGTTGGTGGTGAGGGTGTATTTGCACGCAGGGATGAGGGTTGTGTGTGTTGCTGTATCTGCATCCAGGGATGGAGAGAGGGTGTTGGCAGTGGGGTGTTGGTGAAGGGGGTGTATCTGCACGCAGGGATGCTCTGTGTGTGAGTGTGGGTGTTGGTGAGGAGGGTGTATCTGCACCCAGGAACGGTGTGTGTGTGGGGGGTGGTGAGCAGGGTGTATTTGCAGGCAGGGATGGAGTGTGTGCATGCCTGTGTTGGTGAAGAGGGTACATCCGCACCCAGGGATGGGCTTGTTTGTGTGTTGGCTGGAGGGTGTATTTTTCCTCCGGGTGTTGTGTGTGTGGTTGCAGGTGTGCAAAGGGATGTGCTCGGGGGGGGGTGTTGCACCCACACGTGGTGCAGGGGTGCGTGCGTGCATTGGCAGGGGCACAGTTTTGCCCCGGGGTGTGCACAAGAGCGGTTGCACCCGGGGATGGTGAGTGTGTGAGCGTGCCGATGGCTCCGTGCGTGTGCCAGCGGGTGCTGAGCGTGTCTCTGCACCCAGCGATTGTGCGCGCGGCGCTGGGCTGTGGGTGTGCGTGGGCCTGGAGGTGGCGGTGCTGGGGGTGTGTGCACGTGTGTGTGCGCGCCCGCTGGGTGTGAGCAGGAGCACGTGTGTGCATGCGGGTGTTGCTGGGCTCCCACACTGTGCGCGGGGCTCAGGTGTATGTGGATGGGTTGTGGGTGCTGCTGGGGGGTGTCCAGCGCCGGGTGTCCACAGCGCTGCCGGGGCCCCACTGTGGGTCCCACTGCTGCAGTGGGGAAACTGAGGCAAGGGGTGTTGTGTTCCTGCCTGGCACGGGGGTGTGTGTCTGTGCTTGTGCGGGATCCACAGCTGCAGGGAGGGCACTGTGGGTGTTAGGTGGGGGTGTGGGTGCTCATGAGGTCTCGGGGTGTGCGGTGTAGGGGTGTTGTGTGCGGGTGTACACAGGGCTGGCCTGGGGCGGGTGTGTGGCTGCACGTGGGTGAACAGCGGCGCTAGGGCTGGTGTACACTGTGTGTGGGGCTGTGTGGGTGCAAGGTGCGGGTGTACTGTTATGCAGGGGGTGCTGAGGCAAGCGTGCCACTGTGGGTGGGTGTGCGTGGAGGTTGCATGTGCTGTGTGTGGCGCTGCGGTTGTGCTCAGGGCTGTGCAGGAGTGGGAGTGCGGCTGTAGGGGGTGTGTGGTTGTGCGTGGGGGTGTGCTGGGATGGTTGCGCGCCTGCGCAGGGTTGTGCAGCGGTGCGACTGTCCCCAGCCCGGCTGTGCCCTCTTGCTGTGAGTGCACCCCTAGGACTATGGCAGGGTGTTCCTGTGGTGGGAGGCTGCCTGTACCCAAGCGCCTGTCTCCCTGCACTGGGTGTTGGCTGCCTGGAGGTCCTCAGGGTGATGCAGGCACCAGCCTCCCACAGGCACCCGCTGCTCCAGCTCCACCCGGCACCTCCACCTCGGCTCACTCGGGTGCACAGTGGCCTCATGGGTGCACCGGCTGTTGGGTGCAAGGAGGAGGGTGACCCCGAGGAAGGAGCTCTACCCCCTGCCCAGGCTGCTGGGGGGCTCCGAATTTGGGTGGGGGACAGTGACAGTGCCCAAGCAGTCAGGAGGTGGTTCAGCAACCAATGGTGACCCCCTTGGCTGTTGCACTGTGGTGGTGTGGCCATGGGGTGCCATAGCCGGTGCTCTGTGGGGCACCCACGGGTGCTGGTGGGTGCTGGGACACCCCAGACAGGATCTCTGGTGACACTGGGTGCATTGGCATGGCCCTGGGGTGTGTGAGGATGGGGGAAAATGGGTGAGCATTGAGGGTTGGATGTGTGAGTGCTGTGGGGTGGAAAGGTGGGTGGTGGGGAGATGGGGATGAATGGGCAGGTGTGAGGGTGCTACGGGGGTGCACGGATGAATGGATGGGTGGATGCGTTTTGGGGGTATGGGTGGGTGCTATGGTGGTGGGTGGGTGCTATGGTGGTACATGGGTGTTATGGTGATGGGTGTTGGGGGATGAATGGGTGAGTCTTGGGGTAAGATGGGTGGATGGGTGATTGTGGGTGTCAGGGAGGGATGAGTGGATGAACGGGTGGATGGATGGATGGATGAATGGGTAGGTGGGTGGGTGGGTGTCAGGGGGTGGATGGATGGGTGTCAGGAGCAGGGGGAGATCGCTGGGTGGTTGGTTGGGTGCCAGGAGTAGGATGGAGGCCTGTTGGGCAGTGGTGGGTGACTGTGTGGGTGCAGGGGTGCTGTGGGGACAGAGGGAGAGGTAGGCACCATCCCCCTGTGCCCAGTAGGGGTCTGGGTGCCCACATCATCTGCCTGTGCCATGGGAGCTGGCACCGGGGGCACTGAGCACCCCGGGTGGGAACGGGGCGATGCCGGGGGTACCAAACCCCTTTTCCAGGGGTGTCCCCAGGCTGGGGCTGTTTGTCCCGGTGCGGTGCAGGGCCCTGGGGAAGGTGAGCTGGTCCCTGAGGTCTGACATTTATAAACATCAGCCGCTCCCGGAGAATCAATACAGTTTAATAACCAGCGAGCGGAGACGGGAGACACATCAAAATGACACTCTGCGGCTCCCTAAATGTTATTCTAAATCATCCTCGCTGCCTTTATTGCATTAAGCACACAGCAGCAGGCCTGGAAATATATTCCATCGGAGGCCATGCAATGGGAAACGGGACTGGTGGGTCAGCGGATGGGGGCAGCTCCCCCACCCAAAATTGGGGTCCGTCCTCCCGGCCGCAGCAGGGACATGGGGACAGGGGGATGCTGGCTCTGCTGTCACAGCCTCCTGGCTTTAGGGTGAGCCCCTTTGCAGGGGATGGGGTGGATGCCTGAGGGACGGGTGACACGAGGGCAGCTGGGTGGCCCCATGTCCCTCGGTGGCTCCTGGGGACTCGGTCCCCTCCCTGGACCATCCCTGGCTCTGCGCTGACATTTCTCCCTGCGTTTCCCTGGAGACGAGACGGTTGCTGTGGAAACCTCCCTCCTCCTCTTCCTTATCCATCCTCTTCCTCACCCTGGGATGGGAGGGGGGCCCTGATGCTGCCCTCACCCAGCCCCTACATTTGTTGCCCCCTCCGTGGGTGCACAGGGGGAGCCCGGGGTGGGGGTACCCACCCGCGTGCGTGCTCGAGCCGTGTACGTGTGTGCACACACCCGCCCCGTCATGCGTGACATCCTGCCGTTGCCGTGACGACCCCATCGAGCACATGGCTCTGGCTCTGCAGCATCGCGGGGGAAGCACGCTTGTTGCCATAGAAACGGCCGTAATTGTAGCGTTTTTCAGCTAAAAGAGGGGGGAAAAAGGAGGGGGAGAGAGGAGGAGAAATGGCTCCGCGGGGCAGCGGGCCAGGGGTGTGCCTGGCGTGTCCTGCTGCACACGCGTGTCACAGCCGCAGGTCCGCACGGCGGTGACGCACGGTAGGAGGCCGGAATTGGGTGGGAATGAGGCACAGGGCCGCGCTGGTGGCGGTGCTGCCAGGCTGGCCGGGTGCTGCTGCTGCCTCTGCAGTCCTTTGCAGTCGAGGAAAGCGGGCAGGCGGCCAAGGCTGGCACCGGCGGCCCGTGGGCGCCTGCGGCACCGGGTGCCCATCCTCGGGTGCCCGTCCCCAGGGCCGCAGTAGCGCCCTGTGCCCCTGGCACCCCCGGTGCCCTGTGCCCACGAGCCCTGGCTCTGTTCTTGCAGGTCCCTTCCGTGCTCCCTGTGCCAGGCTGGGGCCAAATCCTGCCGTTCCCCATGGAAAGGGTTGGGGAGGGGGGCACGGCGCCACCACTGACCGCCCGCTCCCGCTTGTGTGTTGCAGATGAACCGCCCCATCCAGGTGAAGCCAGCCGACAGCGAGGGCCGAGGAGGTAGGTCCCCCCTTCCCCAGCTGCCCAGTGTAGACAGGGGGTCAGGGCCACCCATAGGGTGACAGGGGGCATGGTGGCATCATGGAGGCTGCCATTTCGTTTGCAGAGAAACCCCCAAAGGAGCTGCCTGTGCTGGTGGCATCCAAACCCAAGCGCAAAATGAATGTGATCTCGGCTCTCCCTGCCTGCCCAGCTTGAGAGAGCATCTTGATGTCATGCTGGGAACATCCTGACATCATGCCAGGAACCTCCCAATGTCATACCCGACATCTGACAGCCCCTTTGCCTGTCAAACAGCCCATTTACCCACCTGCAGCTGACTGTGGGGACCCTGCAGAGCTGGGGTGCAGGAAGGAGTCAGCCACACATGGCCTGAGCCCCTCTCAAACAGAAGTTGCCACCTCCCTCCCCCAGGTTCTCCATGGGGCTGTGCTGCTTCCAGGCTGAGTCAATCATCTGGGCAAACCTGCAGGAATTGGATGAAAGCCCCCAGCATTACTGGTGCCGAGGGCTGG